ATGAGGTCTTGGTCTCTCAGCTCCCACACATCCCAAAGAGTCTAGCATTTACTGTGACCACAGAGCTGGCCTGAGGTGGGGACCTTCAGAATGCCAACCTCTACCCACTCCCAGACAGTAGGAACTTCAGCATAGACCCCGAAGACCAACTACTATGGTAAGGTAGAACCAGGAGTCTCATTTTCCTTTTGGAAACACAACTTATTCAGAAGTTTCATACATGCAGGTGGTAAAAATTCACAGAGTAAATCAAAGACTTTCCTACCAGACTTCTGAAAAGGATCCACTAAGTCCTCCCAGAACTATGTTCAGCTTCCCAGCCGGTTGCTTCTCATGGTCCACGTTCTTCTCTGCCCCTGCCCAGGTGCAGGGTTCCAAGGAGGATATCGGATTGCAGAGCACTGTGCCCACACTGGCCTGATTCCTAGAAGTGAGGTGGGCTCTGTGAGGCTGGTGTTCAGAGGGAGAGGGGAACTTGAGTGTGGCCCCTCTGGCAGCCACATGGGACCACAGGGCCTCAGCCCCGTCCTTGACCGTTGGGCATCTGTATCAATGTACAGAAAAGGGAAGGGCGAGGAATGGTAGGGACAAAGCCATCCCACAGCAAGAGCCTGCTTTTGTCCAACAAAGAAGGACTGGCCCAAGTCCTAGTCCTCTGGGAGGCTGAGGTACAAGAGGGGAAATCTTGAGAACAAACTGTCCTCTTGAAACCAAATGGCTGAGTGAGAACACTCGGTCTCTCTAGGGGGCCCACCAGCATAGCAGACTGGATACCCTTGGGAAACGCTGCTTCTGGGCCCATTTTGTGGCATAAATCTGCTTTTTGGCATTTACCCCCTGTCTAGACAGGATAGGCACTGTAAGGGTCCAAGAGATCGGAGCTGAGGGATGCCATCACTAGGGCTGCCATAACATGACACTATAAGCACAGAGCATTCGCATCAGCCACACAATTCAGAAGGTTGGCAGGGCCATGCTCTGTCCACTTAAGGTGTGGACAGGAAAGTTGGCTCTGGGGAGGTCAAATTGGAACTGAGCCTTACATGCGAAGAAGGAAGCATTCATGGGCAACTGTGCTTCCTGATGCTGCTGGCCACGGAGGGAACGCCTCCCGCCCGTCTTCATGGAGACACTGCTTTACAGCAGACAGGTGTGCTCGTGCAGCCACATGTTCTTTTTCTTAATCATTGTATTGGGGCTTATACAACTCTTATCACAATCCACACATGTATCAATTGTGTAAAGCACACTTATACATTCGCTGCCCTCATCATTCTCAAAACTTGCTTTCCGTTTGGGCTCCTGGAATCAGCTCCTCATTTTCCTACTCCCCCCTCCCTCATGAACCCTTGATAATTTATAAATTATTATTTTATCTTATCTTACACTG